TATTTTTAAATAAAAAAATCTGAAAGTTGACATTCTTATAAAAAAATTAAAAGTTGATAGTTTCATTTAAAAACTGATAAAATTAATATTTTTAAATAAAAAATATAAATTTAGCATTCTTTTTTTTTTTTTTTATCAACAAAACAAAGAGAATTTATTATTGAAAGCATACGGATATTCCAACCCATATGCAAAGTTAAAATGCTAATTCAATCATTTATCAAGACAATCCAACAGCAAGAAATTACCAAAACTGAAACTTTCAACAAAAATCAACAATCCCTGTAACCCTTCATGCAGAACTCATGCAGAACCTTGATGCTAAATTTAACATTCTTATTTGCATCTTTTCTCTTAAAAACAACTTTTAAGGTAAACGATTGAATTTAATGAAATTAATCATCTTTATAAGTCGTAAAACACTCCTATAAGACAGAGTGACTAAAAATTAGTGCTATAAATTAACCGACCAACTTGTAAGCTATTTGTGAGTTGCTCAATTTAAGCTTGATTTTAATTCGGCTAATTTAGGGCTTGTTTGATGATACTTGTAATTGCTTTAGTTTTTTACACTATTTATGTTTTATAAGTTTAAATTTTCTTCTAAAAAACTTACTTTTTTTAAATTTTTTTTAACTTTAAAAAGATCTTAAACAATAAAATTTGAAAAGATTCAAAATTTTATTTTTTATAAACTTCTTTTTTATTCACTTTTTATTCATTTTTTATCATTTTTAAAAGTAACTTTTAAATTTTTTTTTCAATAAAAATTTTCAATAAAAATTTAAACTTATAACTCATAAACAGTATTAAAAAAATAAAACCTCTAAGAAGTTATGCCAAAGAGGCCCTTACTAAATAAACTGAGCTTGAGCTCAATTTCAAGTTTAAGCCTGTATGCTAGGCTCATGACTTACTCGCCAATAGCTTGTGTAGATTTAAAATTTTTTTAAAAAATGTATATTATTTGATTTAATTTAATTATTTTAAATTATCTGTAAATTGGTTGCTTATAAGTTGCTTGATCCAAGCTTAACGCATTTGGTAATGCTAAAAACAAGTCCTGTTAGGGCACCACTTTTCTAAACCCAACAATTCTTGAGCTCGGTTTGAGCCTATTACTGTGCAGTTGAACTTGAACTTGAGCATTCTAATACTGGGCGCAGCTTGACTCATTTATAGGCCTATCAAAAATAGCTTCTTCTTTTTTCTTTTTTTTTTTTTGGAATTAGTTCGCATTTTTGCACCATTAAGCTAAAAGTTCCATTTAGCCAATTAGGGGAAGAATGTAAAATTATTGGGCCTAGTACCAAAACTACACCAACTAATCATGTTATTTATAAATAATTTATTCTTTTTGTAGGTGAAGTTTTTAAAAGAGGAGTTGGGTTATGATGAGGCATTCAACTATAAGACAGAGACTGATTTTGATGCTGCCTTGGCCAAGTAATTAACTAGTTCTGTTTTCCTTTGCACATAAATGAAGTACGGATCATGACTTGAATTTCCACAGGTATTTCCCAAATGGCATCGACATTTACCTTGACAATGTTGGGGGTAAGATGCTTGAAGCTGTTCTGAATCATGTGAATGTCCGAGCTCGGATTCCACTCTGCGGAATGATCTCACAGTACAATAAGGTAACTTGGCAAAACCTCAGAAAATGCAGAATTGAGTATTATTGAAAAACAGAGCTTAATCTTATGACAATTGTGGTCAGGTTTGGACTGAGAGAGAGGGGGTGAGAAATCTGCTGAATATGGTGGGCAAAGATGTAAGAATGGAAGGTTTCATGATAGGTTCCTACTTACATCGGTTTGGGGAATTCATGGAGGAAGTGATTGGATACCTTAAGGAAGGCAAGATGAGCACAAAACAGAAAATCTACCATGGAATTGAAAGCTTCTTGGAGAGCATTTGCTCTCTTTTCACTGGCTCTAATGCAGGAAAAGTTGTCATCCAAGTCAACAAGCCCATGAAACCCTGAATTCTCTACCAAGTTTTAATTGTAACCCTCTATGTTTTTAAGTCCAGAAGTATCTGGTTATGGTACTTGAGGCCTATAGATGAGGCCCATTGTTTAAATGGATGATGGGTGTGCAACATGCATTTCAATTTCCAATCCAAGAATATGTGTTGAATTTTCGAACAGGCCTACTTCGCAGATCCCGCATGGCAACCGGGGTCTTGCTGTGGAAAAGGCGAGAAAATGTTCAAAAGAATTAATTGCTGAGAACCACTACAAGCACCTAAAAACTGACATAAGAAAGAGAAGAGAAAAGGGTATTGAACCTGACATGAGAATGGTTTACTTCAACTCATTAGGTTTTAATGGTTAATGGGTCATTAGAACAATGTTATGGGTGTAGATTTAAATCTCTTTAATTGCATTTAAATGTAAATAATTTTAAGAGGGCCATACATATTACCTTTGAAAGTAGAGTTTTACTTGATACTTATAAATATGATAAGTATCTATGAGATTAATTAGATTAAATCCTAAATACCCATAATATCAAGAGAGAGAGAGAGGGAGAGGGAGAAGGAGAGTGAGAGTGGTTTATTTGCATAATTAAAAAAAAAAAAAGAGGTAAGCTTTTGTTAATTGGTATTATTCTAACATCAGTTTTGTAGTTTGGTTGTAGAACTACATATATTTTTAATCATATTTTAGAGTTCAATTTTTTAGTCTTTAAATAAAAATATATATTGTTATCGTGTTAGGTGATCAACCAAATAATTAGCTTTCCCAAATGGTATTAGCCACATGTTGAGTCCTCCATGGCCAAAAAAATGAAATCAGGAAGACAACTCATATGACCATCTTTGTGCAAGTCTTATATTGATACATAGGTTGAGAGCCTTGGGACCATTTAACTCTAAATTCTTGGCTGACACTATGAACTTAAATAGGTAAACACATTATTATCCCACCTTATGTACATGTCCACCCTTACTATCTTTAGCTGGCCGTGGCTTTGATCATTTTCTTCTTATTTTAGAACTTCCACCAAAAGAACAGTCTGTATGTAATTTTATTACAAAAGGTTCTTTTTTTTTTTTCTTCTTTTTTGGTAGAAAATATGTGAAAAGTTTGTATTTTTATTTGTTGGTAACTCATAAGCTATTTAGATTAGTTTTTTTTTTATACAACTCATAATTAATAGTAAATATTTAACTATTGGTAATTATTATTATTTATAATTTAAAATATTTAATTTATTTAATTAAAATTAACAATTAATAATTATTAATATAAAATCAAAACAAACACCCTTAATTGATATTTTAAAAGTAATAATTTATCAAAGAACCGTTAAAATATAACCAATTATTTAAATAAAAATTTTAAAATGGCAACTTTCTTTTATTTATTTTAATATTAATTTATTTCAGTTCAAAATTTTTGAGAGGACACCTACACGTTTAAATCGAAGAAAATGTAGAAACCGTTGGGGAATTATTCATCTTAAGATCCCTGATTGTTTGGTGAATGAAGGTAGTCCACTTTGCCTTGACTAGGGATAGCAATTTGTCCCGATTCCCGCGGGACCTTGTGGTGATTCTCGTTATGGGGATAGGGTGGGGAGGAATATTTCTCTCTGCGGAACGAGAATGAGGAATATTTTCTCCTGTGAAAATTCGCGGGAAATTTTTCCCACCCCATGAAGATCCCCATCCCCACGAAAAATTAAAAAAATATATAAATTAATTTTATTTTAAATTTAATTCAACCTTCAAATCTAAATCCAATTCAATAAAATTTAAATTTAATCTAATTTTATCCAACCTATTATTGACCTTTTAGTTATTTATGTTAGATTGATCTTTATTTATGTTTGGATAATTTATATTTAAA